CTGAATCCTGTATTAAATTATCTTGGGGGGGGAAATGGTTTCCATCCCTTTTTCGTCTTCCCATTGCTCCACTTGGTACTGTGCAACTATGTTCTTGATAGGCTAGTTGATGTTTTCAGCCTGTCTTCTTTCCTTGGTTTAATTGTGTTTTGTGGCTGTATTGGGTTTGTAGCTAAGTGTGTGTGTGTTATTTCTGTCCCTGGTCTGGGTGTAATTTATTATTTGCTAATTCACAATAATAAAACTAACAAAAAACAATGCAAATAAATCAATGTGGAGAGTGAACAAGCAAACACAAACACACAAGAAACAGAACAAACAAACAAACAAAATTCCAGGTTCAGGAACAACAGAATTTCAGTCTTATTTTAAGTTCTGGTGTTACTCCTCCAGCATCCAATCTGGTGTTGTTATTTAAGCAGAAGCTCTGTCATAGTCTTGCCAGGTAGTGTTTTTTTTTCTTCTGTCTTTCAGAGGCAGCTGCTTGGTCAGCTCCTCCCTCAGTTGGATGTGGTAATTTAAGTTGTATGTTATCCTCAGGTTCTGGAATCAGCTCTGTAGCCCACCAGCTGTCCTGCTTTGGAGTTGGGTTTTCACTGTGTTGGTTTACTGGGGCTTGTTTCTTTGCCTCTCCCCCCTTCTCTGGGCAAGGTAAGTGATTCGTCAGCCGGCCCCCTGCTGTCAGCGTGTTGTGATGGTTTGCTAATTATTTTTTAATTTTGCCGTGTTGTTTGACTTTGGATGTTGCTCACTGGCTCAGGAGATGAGCTTTGTGGACCGCTACCTGCCCTTTCAGGCAGCACCTTATCACCTGCCCGGTGTCAGCCCTTCTGCCTTTCTAGCCGTTTGTTTACTGAAAGTTCACGTGGAGATCAGCTCCTTGTTCCTCCCTCCTTCTCCAGTGGGCTTTCAGCAACTCCGCCCCTCTGCTGTGTGTTAGTTTTCAGTTCATTGTTTATTGTTCAGTTTTTTTTTCTTTTTTTTTTTTGCGGAAGGGGTGTGGGGTTTTAGCCCAGGGGGCTATGCTGGTTTATCCTAGGGGTGGCTGGGGGAATACTGCACGATGCTTGGTGCTCACCTGTTGGTCTGCCGAATGTCTCCCAAGCAGGTTTGGAGCCAGCATCTGGCGGTGCGGCAGCCCTCCTGTTTTCTAGTGTAATGTAGTGTGGAGAATCTTTCCATGGGCTAGGAGTTCAGGGTGTCAAAGTTTTGATTCTCCTTGCTGCTTTATTTCCACCAAGTTTGGCTCCAGCATCTCTGCAAGGTTTTGTAGACACGGAGCTCACGCTGTCTTCTTCTGCACCCTAGTCGTCATCTTGGATCTAGTCAATTCACTCTTGCGTTGATATATTTTTGTGTGAGAATAGTGGGCCTACATGTTGAATGAAGATTTATATTTTATAGACAGCCAACATAGATTTTATAGGACATCAAACACTGAGAACAAAGACAGTTGTCATCATCTGTAGTCATCAACAGGATTCTTTGAAGAAGATCCTTAGCTTTCAATATGAAACATCCTTAAAACCTCTATGCTTTTAGAAGAAAGTCAGTATTATACAGTGACCAAATGTAGAGAATTACTTTTTTTCATTGGACACCACATTTATTCATGTTTTAAATACAACATTTCATTATGACAATACTAAATACACAGGAGAAATGACAATTAAGGTGCTTGTTGGCAAATGCTTGTAATCCCAGGTACTCCAGAGGAAGAGACAGAAGGATTGCAAGTTCAAGTCTGGCCTGAGCAAAGTTAACAAGACCTTATGCCAGAAACAAAAATACAAACAAAATGGCTATGGGCATAGTTCAAGTGGTAGAGAAGGTGATCAGCATGTACATGGTCCTGGGTCCAACCCACAACAATATAAAAAAATTATAATGAGAAATCACCCCACGAGAAATGTAGATTTGCAGATTTGTTAACTAACACCTACATATAAAAGGAAAATTTTAATATAGATATTTTGGTGTAGTGTAATTGTTTTGCTTATATTCTGCATTATTCTGCATCTACACTGTCATCTTAGCTTAATTGTGTTCACTGGCTCATTATGCACTAACCTCTTGATGGAGTTAGCCAACTGAGTTATGTGGACAGTGAGCCATTGTATCACTGCCTGTATAATTTAAGGTGTTCAAAATGCAAGTTCTTTAAAAACCAGTTATGCTGGATTTTTATAGGCTCTAATTACTGCTAATAGTATATGAATGATAATTTGATACAAGAAGGAAAGTGTAAACTAGTGATAGAGTAAAAAATCAAAACAGTGTGGGTGCCTATATAAAAAGTGATCTGAAAACATTCTCTAGAGCAGTATTATGACTATACTTTCAATTGAAAATTAGAGTTTTCTGAAGTGGATAGCAAGAAGAACCTGGGAAAATTTACATTCCCTTCTTAAAATAATTAAAAAATTCTTTAACCGCAAATACTTGTTTTTTAATTGTCTTCATGAGCAGGGAGTTTTCACACTGTGCATGTGAGTCATATCATCATGAACAACATGACTCTTGGATAAATATCCTATGTGTAATCCCTACTTTTTCACTCCTCTCCATCATTTTCCTGAAGGACGTCTTCATTGTGGATATAATTTTGCATTTCCGTGTTTTGAGAGTTGCTAAAGGTGAGGCTGTTACATAGAACTATTGAACATTACATTGTTTTGAGGGGAATCTATATTTATTGAACACTTTGACAGGAATCACTATCTGCAATTGTTTCTCCCCTTTACCATCCCTTGACACTGAAGTTATCATACTACTAGATAAGATAGTGAATTTCATAAAGAAACAGAGAAAATATATTTTGGATACAACTTCCATAATAATAGACCCTGAAATGATGATTCCCTCCACATGTTATTGGTAGGTGGGCCACTTTTGCTTTGGGGAAGTAAGTTTACATGGGGCATGTAGTTTGCATGCACATATTGTGTTTGAACCAAACAGGTTTTGAGTATTCAGTTTCAGAGCATTGCAGCTGTTCTGTTACTACCCTTTCTCCCTTTTTCTGCATAATGTGTAACCATTCCTCCTAAAGACATTAGCACTGATCTCCAAAACATCCACCCAAAACCAAAAAGACAAATGAAGGAGTTGTTCCCATTAAATCCTGGGAAGTCATATTCAAGAGTCATGGTTTATCAACCTGCCTAGCCTGAGTAAATGCAGCATCTGACAAATTCAGTGCCTAAATGGGACCACAGGCTCACCAATCTTTGTCCATAGACGTACCCGCTCCTCTGTGTATTAGAGAATACTGATAGACACCCCTCCTCCATGAATGTGACTTTAAAAATAAATCCTCAGAAGCCACTGCAGATTATCTCAGAAGAAGAATGAAAAGAGTGGGATTATGGCATAGAAACAGTAGGAATGGGATCAAGCCATAGATTATGAATAGGAGAGGCAAGGGTTCCTTGTTGGAATTCCAACTCCTAAACAGAAGGCAGCCCACGTAGATCAACAACTTGATCAGGCTGCTCCCTTAACAAAGTGAGCAGCAGGCTTTCACTGAATTCTTGGGGCTAAGCTAATCCTGTAGCTTCTCTTTACTCATGGTCATGGTTTCAAAATGTTCTACTTGTGTTCAAACATCCCGGCCTGGTATTTGGTAGGCTAAGGGGTGCTCAATTTTGCTCAGATATTGTTGAGTTACTTCTAAAGCTGGAACCATTCTCCTGTGTAAAGGCCCTGGCCTTTTCTTTGAGCCTTAAAGTTATTTGGGTGGAACTGCAGAGAGAACTTCCACAATCTTAAGTCTTCAGTACCTGGGTCTGGCTTCCTATTTTTGTGAATCACTAACACTGAACTAATATGAATTTCCTTTGTGGAAACTGGTGGGTGATCATAATAGAGTCTGACCTGAGAGAGACTGCTGACTCACCATCTCTGGTGCCTGTATCCTGGTAGGCAATCAGTGTGACAAGTTGACACCTCTTCTTCTACAAGTTCCTCATCTTCCAAATTCTATAATATTGCCTTTCATACAGTGAACACTCCTAAATGAATTAACTTTTTGAAGAGTATGCAACAAAATGATCACTGTATATGTTTTCCTTGTCAAATTAACAACTAAAATCCATCTGATTTGGTATAACTTCCTTTGGACCTTTACGAAATTGAGTCAACCAAGCAAATCTTTCCTAACTGGTTAGGCTCTCAGAAACTGTTTCTAAAGTTACGATTTTAGGCGAAACCCATTTCATTTCTATATACTAGTTTGTTATGAATGAAATGCCAGGTATTATTTAAAGCACATAAAATATGTCAAAGAGGGGTGGCAGAACCCAGTGCAAGTTTGTGTGATGCGAAGGTCACTTGAAGGGACCAACACCACTGAGATTCCCAGTAATGTGGTCTGTCTCAGATCTCCAGGTCTCATGAAACATGCAGAGTTTGAGAAGCCTACTGTCAAGTAAGTGATTCAGGCCTCCCAGGCATGCAAACATTATGGGTTCTGAAGTCTGTGGGTCACAAGGAAGTATCCACCACGTAGAAATTAAAATGATGTGGTAGGCCCAGACCTGGTCCTATCCGTCTGGTCCTATCAGGAGCATGGGTTCCTTATCCCTGAGCTCATATTACTTGTCTAGTTATGTGGCAGGTAGCATGATGTGGTAGGCCCAGCTCTTGCAGTCACTAGAGCACAGTGAACTCTCCAAGCCCACCAAGGCTCCTCATAGGGCTATTACCATCACACAGCAAGTGGAAGCCTCAGGACTCAAAGTCATATAGGTGATCGACTCTTAGGGTCATGTGGACGCTATGCTATATTGCCCTTCACCATTCTTCCCTCCCCAAGCCTCCAGAACCAGGCACACCTCTTTTGGCAGGAGAAGATTACGACCAGCTGAGCTCTGCAGATTCATTCTTCACAGGCAGGGGGCGCTAACTATAAGAGAGACAAAGCCCTTGCAGTCAAGTGAGCACCTCAGCTGCCCAATGGCTGTTGTTCTTGTGGTCACGTGCCGCACTCTGATCACGCGATGCTCAGCCCTCCAGTTGACGTGAAGACTGAGTACGCCTGGGGTCATGCGAGCTTGCGTGGTACACGTCATCACGTGACCCCTAAGGTAAAGTACCAGGATCTGCGCTTTCTGTGTGGAGGGCCGGTTCTTAATCTTCTCAGTCAGACCTACAGACTCCAACTGTCAGACTGAAGTCAGAGTGTGGCAGAGACCCTAACTTTTCCAGGCTTTCGGACACTTTTCTGGTAGGAGGGGCATGAGCCTAACAGGCACTGGAAGTTTCCTCAGAGAATCTGGCGGGCTTTATGTGTAACCAAGCAGCCGCCAAATAGCAGAGGGCGTGCGGAGCTGGGGGGGGGGTGGGTGAGGTGAGCAGGAAGACTTTCTGAATGTGGCCAAAAATTTGTACACCTGTCCCAGAACTCCTCTGTGTGTGTGTCTGTGTGTCTCCCGACTTGCTCCTGGACTCACAGGAGGTCTTGTTGGTAGCAAGTGAGGTGGAGAAGAGCAAAGAGCCCAGCCTGTGGTTGGGGGTCAGGAGCCCCTGTGGTTATGTGGTGTGGAGGATGGATGGGGGTCATGGGCTCCTCAGTTATCTTTCAAGGGCAGGGCTCTGGAAGCCAGATGGGACCACCCTACCCTCACTTGCCCCCTAGGTAAAGCCCTACCTTTTCCTGTCACCCTGCCAGATTCATTGTCTATGCAGTGGTATGCCATCCTCTGCCCCTTCTCTGCCCATGTGGGTTTGCTGGTTTCATAATTAAAACACAATTTACTTAGATTCACAAGAACTGTGACACAATAAAACACACATGGCAAGATTGTACATTTCTGGAGGGGGGCAAGAATATGCAGAGATGGTGTGTCCTTCTCAACTGGGGAGAGAAGTATGATCCTGGAAGGACAGACAGCAGAGATTTTGGACAACAGTGTGCTCTACCACGTGTGTTGAGTTAAGATACACCTATGGAGACAACCTTGAAGTAGTCTGTGCTTCCTTATTCCTCTGATTTTAGACCTGCTGTACCTTCAGAATTGAGTAAAGGGAAGTGGAGCTATTCTCACCCAACTCCCCTCATTTCTTTCCTTTTAAATCTGTTTGTATTAGCATATATTAGTTGTAGAAAGGTGTTTCATTGTGTTATTTACCATATGCATATAGTCTACTTTAATCAAACTCACCTCATCTATGTTATTCTTTCTTAATCTTCTTCCCTCCTCCTGTTAAACAATTTTGGTAGGTTTCATTATGCTATTTTTATAAATAAATAATGTACTTCTATAATATTCACACACACACACACACACACCTTTAACACTTTCCTTTTCTCCACTCCACTCCTGCCGGTGGCCATGGGGCTTATAAGGACACCAGAGACTTCTTAGATAGCAGTTCCTACAGAAGATTACAAATGCCATCTTACAAACCCCAGCACCATCACCAAAAAAAAAAAGTTCTGGCCTTTTTTAATATGTAAATATAGTTTTTGTTCTGTGCTCTGCTTTCCCACCAAATATCTCAAACATGTGCCGAAACAGGAAGGAGGGAATTGCAGAGGAGAGAGGGCAAAATTTTAAGACTTTGGTATTTTAATGAAAATGTCAAAGTAATCAGGGTTTGGTGGATCACTCCTGTAGTCCCAGCACTAGGGATACTGAGGCCTGAGGAGTTGTTGGCCAGCCCGAGCTATATAACGAGACCCCATGTCAAAAGCACACAGAATAAGTAAATATTTAATGTAGCCATGATATGAAGATTCAGAATTTATTACACTTCATACAAAGTTCATCAGTTTTACAAAGTGCATTTGGGTGTGAGTGAAATCTTTTTATGATTAAGATCTCTAAGAATATCCCAGTCACACACTGTTTGTTTGTATTTCTTCCCTGATTCGCTGAGCATTGCTCCTTACAATCATTCCTTGCTGAAAGTTCCCCCCTTTTCTTCATGTGGACAATTAGTGAACAGATTTAAGAAAAATATCAGGTAAATGCATAGGTGACAATTTTGGTACCTCATGAAAGTGGTATTAGATGAGTAAAGTCAAACAAATAGCAAGATCGGGCTCACATTTATGGGATTTTAAATACTGCTTGACAGATGGTTAAAGAGTATTGTCACTTGTGGTACTTTATGCTATAGATAGCTTAAATTATTTACTTTATTTTTTCTCTCATTTCTGCATTTCCAAACTTGTTCTGCAAAACACTAGGACTAGCAGACAGCTACAAGAAAATGTCCTCTACTCTAAAGAATTGTGGGATGCACAGAAATGCAGGTAAACAACTTTCCATTCTGTAGGATAGTTTTTAGATACTGTGGTGTTATGCAACATGAATCTCTGAGGGGGCGAGGGAGTCTCCTTGACTGTGGGGATGGAACATTTTTCCCCAGAGGCTGTGTGGTACTCATGTTCCTAGAAAATATTTGGAGATACCCTGTTCAAAATACATCTGGTACCACTTTAAAAATGTTGTGCTGTTGTTTACCAAGGTCAATGTGACGCACGTGCATAATAATTGCAGTCTGTCCTTCTCATCAAGTAATCACTCATTACCCTTTAATTCATTTTATCTTATCACATGAGTCGGTCGATCTCCTGCTTGAACCTTTTCACTTTTTTCTTCAGAGATACCACCAATTTTTAAGCATGCTTGTGGTATCATTGTGGCAAAAAATAACTGAACAAGTGTAAATCATTTAGAGGTGTTATGAGTTGCCGCAAATGGGGTGTCCCACTCTTGAAGGCATTATGCAACCCATGTATCAGGATGAGCAGATGCAGTACCTCTCATTTGGTCCACTGTTTTCAATGCTGTTTTTATTGCTATTTAATAACTACAGCTTCCGTAATTTGTGCCCCTATATATGGCACGCACTGTGATAACTTTGTCCTGTATGTGTTCTCATTTCGCCCTCAGAAGAATCTCAAGTGGGTGTTACTTTTAACTAACAGATGAGATGTGAGCCTGAAAGAAGGGAGCTGGTAATGCCATGGTTGTAGGCAACCCGCAAACCTCACTGTCTTATTTCTCCTACAGCATGTCCATGGTAGGTGCATGTCCTTCACAGGATGGTGGATGTTGAGGCCTGAGGGATTCTAATTGAAATGACTTAGGGACCCTAACTAAAGGATCGTTCACCATGTAGAAATCAGTCAGTCACTGCCAGAGGGTAGGTGAGCCCTACAGGGTCTCAAGGTAGCAGCCAGATATTCTGGCCCAGAAATGACACATGCTACTCAACAACAATTTGGCCAACGCCAGTCACTGACATGTCCCCATTAAAATGGAGGCAGACAGGAAGGGCAGTTCTACGAAGATAGTGCCTGGAAGGGGAGAATGGGAACACGTGGCAAACAGCATCAAATGACTTCCTCATAGAGGAATGGAAACCCAGAGATATTAAGGACTTGCCTAAAGCCACATAGGCCCTCAGTGACAGAGCCCGGATTTGTATTCAGGCAGGTGTGAGGTCAAAGTCAGGGTCCTTTCTACTCCTTACTACATCAATATGCTAGTCTCTTAAAGGAAGTTCACATGTATTTATAATAAACGTTCCTTATTTCACTGGTGGAATTTTTCTTCCTTAATCATCTGACATGCCATAAACCTGATGGCATTGGTCAAAAATGCCAACACCGAAAAACCACAGGTGTTTTCTAAAGTGAATGTCTGGACATTTGAGTATCCTTTGTGTACAAGGATAAAAATTTAAAAAACAACCAGTGGTGGACAAAAAGGCTGCCCAATGCTCACTTACTTCAGAAAAAAACCCTATAAACTCATGTTTTTAGATCTTCTCATGGAAAAATATCAAAAGTGAGAGCGGATATTAAATTAAAATGGTAACAGATGAGATGAACATGAACAGTGCTTGAAAGGAAAATGTGCAGTGAGATCCAATTTTGTGTGGCGCTGCACTTACCAACAAGATTTGTAATGCAGCATCTGCAGCTTAGTCATAAAAGCATATAATACAGAATGTTAATACACATCCCTGCATGCACACGCACACATACACTCGCTCACAAACCACTTTACTTCCTCTGAGACAAGGGTGGTCCTTGGTGTCTGTCAGTGACCGCAGACATTCCAGTGGGTTCAGTTCAGTCTTCCTATACACAACATATTTCCAGAAAGCTATGTCTTCTGGATTAAGGAAAAGCCCCTCCTCATTTCTGTCACCACTGTTTGAAAAAGCCACCTCCTCTGGCATCATCTAAGCTGCAGGTTTAGCATTAGCCCACAGGGACATACTCAGCTCTGTCTGTAAGGACACGTACTAATGAAAAATGTCAATTTTACAAAATAAAATGTCAGTTTGTGCTGGTTTTCCAGAACCAGATTGTAAAACAGTTCTGTAGCCCAAAGTTGTCTGGGTTAAATAAATCCATGTAGGTAGAAATGCTTGAGATGGATCTATTCTCAAAAGTGCTTTTGATGGGAGCTGGTAGCATGGCTCAGATGGTAGAGTGCTTGCCTTGCAGGCATGGGGCTCTGAGTTTGGACACCAGTATTGGCAAAAACTAACTAAATAATACAAACAAAATGAATTTAGTTTAAAAAGTGGCTCTGTTGTTGATCCCAAATCTGGACGACACACATTCATTTAACAAATACTAATGAGGCTGTTAGCATATGCCAGTCCCTGCCAACGTGATTCCTTATCTGCACACCTTAGGACTCAAACAGATTTCTCCCTTCCGGTTCAAGGTGGCAATCTCTGCCTCACCCAAACACCTGGCTCCCACCCCAACAGGAGTGACTTGCATACTCTCTCACCCTGGCCCTGCTACTAGAAATCTGCCCATGAGACCTTAAATTTCAGCATTAAGGGAGAAACAGTGCAATCTCTGGAAGTGCACTCAGTGGATGGAGGCAGGCCTATAGGTGATGATGCATTATAGTTCTGCCATTTGCTCGGCTAAGAGATCCTGGGAGAAATACCTAATGTCTGTGAACTCCATATTCCTGATCATCGAGGGACTGGGGATATAGTTCTCCTGGGACTAGAATCCTAGAGAGTCTGCCCAACGCAGAGCAAATGCTGGTTGCCACTGGGCAAGTATTGATTCCCTTCTTACAGCATTCTCTCCCCTTCATAGCAGGGGTACTGTTGCCATGTACTCGGCAGCATGGCATGATGCAGGCAGAATTCCAAAATGGCACAGCAAGTAGCATAGGAACACACATGGTGTCATAAAGGAGACTGAGTTATTTCTTTGTGGAGCCTGAGAGTGAGAGGCACTAGCTGCTTTGTGATATTCCTGCTATCTCTTGCCTTTGATTCTGGCAGCATAACTGCGAGACGGATTTGCTGAGAGATGCAGGTGTTAAGTAAGTGGATGGGTGCCCACGTGTGTTTTGTCTTCCAAGTCTCAATCCAGCAGGTCCACCTGTGGCTTTTTATCATATGTCCACTGTCCTGTGTGATTCCCAGTAGAGGGCCTTGCCTGAGACTGTAGCTGTTGGCTAGGTCACTTTCACACCTTCCCCTCAGTGGTGTTATTTGTGAAGTAACGTTCATTCTCCACAATGAGTCTGACTCTTTCTGTAGTCTGTATACGGGCCATGTCCCCTGTCACCTACACCTAAGTATTTAATGTTTTCCTTTCGTTTGTGAACTTTGATGAAAATGACCTGGTTTCCTGGCATTGCCCAAGTGTCACCAATAAGTTTCTCTTTTTTTGTTGTTGTTTTTGTTTACCATTATGGACTCATGGTTCTTCAACACATTCATCAACTTCAAGTCCCTGCTGTTGGATTTTGAGCAGAGGAATGGCAAGATTTGACTTGTGCTTTAAAAAACACCACTCTTCCTGCTGTGTTGTAAATAGAGGCTGAGGGAGCAAGTGTAAAAGCAGAGATGCCCATTAGAAGGCAATATAATCCAGGAGATAGGTGTGGGGTAACTTGACCTGGGTGGTAATGGAAGAGGTGAGAAGTAGCCAGACACTGGGTGCATTTTGAATGGGGAGCCAAGAGAATTTCCTGACCCATTGCAGGTGGAGTGTGAGAGAATGAGAGTACTCCTGGCCACGTCCCAGTTTTTGAGGCTGAGCAAGTAGGATGCCTGGGTCAAATGCTTATACTCCCATTTATTTTCTCTTCCAGTGTGTACTCCTGACCAGGGAGTGTCTCAATGTTGTCCCGGGACTCTCCCGACAGTGGGTAACCAGGTGAAAGCAGTAACCCCTCAAGGAGTCATCTGAGGCATGGGCATTTATGGGTACCTTGTGAAGTGTGTAAGAGTGAGCCAGTTTTAATCCATATATGTGTCCATATGTGGAATGATTAATGCACAAAATGTGTAACCCGCAATCTTGGAGAACCTTAATTGTTAGATCCCAAGAAGAAGCTGTTTCCTGGCAGTCTACTTGCCTTTACCCCCAACGCCCCCACAAGTCCCTAATATTACCCTTTCTTGGTGACCAGTTTCAGTTGACCGTGATGAAAAGAAAACACCTTTAATGAGACTACCTAAGGTAGAGAGAATTGAGACTATCATATTTCTGTAGATGCAAAAACAACAAATGAAAAACTCCATTGCAGGTCTTGCCTCCTGGAGAATTAGATATGTCAGTTGAGACGGTGTTGGGGGAGGGAGGTGGGAGGATGGTGTCAAAATGCAAAAACCAATTCCTAGGAGTTGCTGGGTGAGATATAACCACTTTATAAACATTGCTGAGGCTACCTTATCCAATAAAGTAGATGTCAGAGCAAAGAAAATTAACGAGAGACAAAGAGAGGTGTTACATAATGATAAAAGGATCAGTCCACCAGGAAGATAGAGGGATCCTAAGTGAACTTTGAGATGCTCCAAAGAATCTCAAAGTGCATGAGGCAAAGTGCGTGGAGCTAAAGGGAGAAACAGCTAATATCACGGATGGAGATGTGGCCCAGTGGTGTAGTGCTGGCTCATCAGGTGCAAGGTTTGGGGTTCAATCTACAACACAGAGAGAGAGAGAGAGAGAGAGAGAGAGTAGGTGTGGGAGTGGGAAAGGGAGAGGGTAGAGAGAGAGAGGAGAGGGAGAGGAGAAGAGAGAGGGGAGAGAGAGAAGAAGGAGGAGGAGGAGGAAGACGGGGGGTGGGGAGGGAGGAAGGGAATGAACATTACACAGTGAGAGTTGATGCCTTCAACAACCCACTCTGTAGAATTACTGGAGAGAAAATCAGGAAGAATATAAAAGATAATATGGAATAAATAGAATACTCCGCCCAGCAACCACAGTGTAAGTGAAATCACGGAGTGTATTTTTTCTGATCATAACAGAATACAAAAAAAAAAAAAAAGAAAAGAAAAAAGAAAAAAATCACATACAGATGATAGGAAATCTCCAAATGTGAAGAAATTGTAATTGATGATTATCATTCCAGTTTGTGGTTCAGACCCTTGTTACAGAAGAGCTGAGTTTGGGAAGTTTCCTCTGGATAGTCCATGCTCAGTATTGTTGAGGGCACGGGTGGAGAAAAGGGACCAGTTTAGCAGACTATTGCATCAGTCCCGCCTGTCATTAAAGCTTCTACCACCAGGTAAAAGGATGCACAGTTTGCTGATTGCCCACAGAATCAGTTCTGTGCTGATTGAATTTGGAAGGCGTGAAAGAGGTTGGCCTCCCATCTATTGGTATAGTTGTTCGATTAGAGAAGTCTGAGAGAAAGCCAGATTCTGACAACATCCTGGTGTGTGGCTGGTGTCTAGTGTAACCCATAGGCATAAACACCCATGTTCTTGTAAATCCTGTTCCACTTTTTAATAGGTTCAACATGGTTGCTTCCTCTTTGGAAGATATCTCCCCTGATTCTGCCACCCGTGAGATCAGGCTCTCATGTTTGGACAGGCAGAGGAGTTTGCTTTCTGGGATTTGTGTGATTGGTCCCTTGGGGGCAGGTTGGCATTTTGCCTGCCCTACCATGGTGTTAGCCAGTGATGTGGTCCATGGTAAGTGGACCGTGGGTGTGTCTTTAAACTTGTGTTGTTGTTGTTGTTCCCAATTTCAGAACACAGTGGTGACAGCAGTGTTCTTCAAGGAAGAAAGAGAAGTGGGAGATCTTTCCAGGGTAGTTTTGGCAGGAGGAATGGCCACTACGAGGAGAAGCATAACGGGTACATCCTCCCGCCTTCAAAACTGCAGGAGGATGATGGAAACGTGGAGATGAGGGATGTCCATGAGGACCCCAAAGTCAGATAGTAAGTGACCAGGCAGCCTGGTTTGGATGTAGCAGCCCTTAGGACTGTGCTACTCTTTCACTCTCTCTGGTCATCATCTTCTTTCACTTGGAAAAGAGACGAATGGTAGATGTGGAACACTGGTTGAGCAGTCCTAATTGTAGCCCTGGTATCAGTGAGGGAAGGGTGCTTAGAAGACTATGTTAGCGTTTATGGACACCCCCCTTCTCTCCCTTCCACAGCAGTCCTTATGCCACCCAATGCAACAAGCAGAGAAGGAAATGGCGTAATGAAGGCAAAATCCATGTTGCTGTGTGGAGGGATACAAACCGTAGAGAGAGAGAGATGGAGCAGGACACTCAAGATGGAGCCATGCAGAGCTGGTTCAAGGTCACAGTGAGTGTCTTGGCAAAGTCTGCAGTAGGTAGAATGTTCTGAAACCTAAGACAAGGACTATCACATTCAGCACTGTAAGCTGGTTACTTGGAGAAGAACTTCTGAATGAAGGGAAAGAAGTTTAGGAAATCCGTATTTGGCACACAAAAAGGAACCATGTCAGTGGTCCCGTTAGAAGTTCTTTAAAGCCAGCTAGAAGGTCGGGAAAGAACACTTGGTTGGGGCTGTTCTCCATCCTAATTCCATGCTCTCTCTTTTCTTTGTTTCTCTTCTCTCCTATCCCTTCTTTTTCCTCCTTAGATCCCCTTTGGGAGAAAGTATGACAAGACATGGCTAATGAATTCAATTCAGAGACATTGCATTGTGCCCTTCACCCCCATCGAAGTAAGAGGGGATGGTGAAGCAGGATGAGTGGGCACAGGGGAGGGGAGAGGCCAGGCTCAGCAGGGGCCATTGGCCTCTAACACCGTCGTTTCTGCCTTCCACTGTCTGTAGTTCCACTATGACAAAAATCGGGCCCGGTTCTTTGTCCAGGATGCTAGGGCTGCCTCTGCATTGAAGGATGTCAGCTACCGGATTTGTAATGAAGAGGGCCGAAAGGTGTGTGCTGGAGGCATTCATTCTCTGTACCTAGTCATGGGTGGGAGGACAGGCCAGTGGCTGGTTGCCATCTTTGGGATTAGAGTTCCTGCTACTTAACCTGACCTCTGCTTCCTGCAGATACTTCTCATGTCAATCCTTCTTCTATACCTTACTCTGTGCAGAATAAGTTCACAGCAGAACAAATGGAGCAGCTAAAGGTAATGGAAACTGAAATCACGTTGTGTGCCCATGTCCCAGACCCATCTCTCCTTCCCCCACTCCCTGAGGTTTCTGTCACCATGACCCCCTGCAGCTCAGAGCCATTCTCTCCATCTCTGTCTGTGCAGCTGACCATGAAAAAACGATATGATGTCTCCCAGCAATCCCTGGACCTCCAGAAGCTCCGCTTTGACCCAGGTATGGCTGACCATGGTAATTTTGGGGCATGTCAGGGCATAGGGGGTCTGCCTGGGAGAAAGACCAGTTACAGACAGCAACTTGGTGGAGGGGTCATTGCTGGCACTGGTCCAGCAAGATCCCTCTCAGCCTTCTGATTTCCCCTCTCTTGGATTCCCGAAGACTTGAAGGGCCAAAAAATTGACATGGTCCTGAATCGAAGATACTGCATGTTTGCCACTCTGCAGATCATTCAAAGGAATTTCCCTGAGGTGAGGCCTTAGTCCCAGTGCTGGTGCTTGAATATCGGGATGGAAGGGATGGGGTGCAGGGCGGCTTTGTCTCTGAGGCTCTCGGTAGCACCCATTGCTCTAACTCTTCCTGCCCAAAAGCTGTCATCCTTGAACTTGTGCAACAACAAACTGTATGGGCTGGATGGCCTGTCCGATGTGGTAGAGAAGGCTCCCCAAGTCAAGATCCTGAACCTCTCCAAAAACCAGGTGAGAAGGGGGAACCACCTGAAATTTGGGTTGAGGGCAGGTGATGGTGCACACCGGGGTGATGGCACGAGGCAGACAAAGGTACCTGAGGGTGAGGGTGGGGACGTTGAGTGCAGGCCCCAGGTGTCTCTCTTTCCCCGGGACTCCTTTACTGGTTCCCTCCCGGTCTTTCTTAGCTGAAGTCGGCCTTGGAATTGAACAAGCTGAAAGGGATGAAGCTGGAAGAGCTGTGGTTAGAAGGGAACCCCTTTTGCAGGATCTTCCTGGACCAATCTGTCTATGTAAGGTAGATAATGCCTAGTAATAATGCCCGTCCACTCTCCTGATCCTGAGGCCCCCGGGAGCCTGAGATGCCCCTGATGGACCCCCTCTAAGGGAGGAGGCAGCCATGGTCCTCTGGGAGGACCACAGGCCCCGCCCTCTTACCGTTTTGGGTCCTCAGCCATGCTCACAGGTATCCTTTCCTTCTGACCTGCCCCACATTTCACCTGAGGTGGGTTTCCCACCTCTGCGCATGCGGCCTCCTCCAGCATGCCCTCCTGTGCCTCTCACAGATGGGGCTGGCCTTCCTCCCCTGTCCTGAGAAGGGCCTTATTTCCTGTCCCCCAAAATTTCTCCCCCTGTGCCCGCCGTCTCAGGGTGGCATAGAGGCTGTGCTGCCCCATGCTGAGGGCCTCAGCCCTGATTGGCTGTTTTTATGACATCCGTTGCTGTGGGTCATTGCTGGGGGCTCTGCCATCCTTGGGGAGAAACCTGGGTTCCCTGGACCAAAGATTCAGAAGTGGGCCACCACCGGTGAGCAGAGGGCTTCTGGAAACAGGAGCAGAAGGCAGAGGGCAGAGAAGGCTGAGAACAGAAAAGCAGGCCTCTCGGGGACACTGCCCCTCACTCCCTCCACATCACATCGACCTCCCTGGTCCCTCAGAGGAGCCCTGGAGAGCCAGAGAGAAGTATGATTCCTTGGGCAAGGCCCTCACACACACAGGCGCAGGTGCACAGGGAGCTGTACTCAGGGGAGAAATCAGTGACCGTAAGAGAGGCCACAGACTTTCCATCCCATGCTGAGCTGGGGCCTGACCCTTCACTCCTTCTGGTCCCAGGGGATGGCTCTTGCCCCCAGGGAAGCTCCATTTCCCATGCCCAGCTCAGACTCTGCTCACACTGGGGACAAAGGCCTGCATCCAGTGGAGCCCAGCCCAACTGGTGTATGTTATCATTCCTGCCTCAGGACCCAGGACTAGAAAGGGTGGGTGGGAGGTGAAGGAGAGGACTATAGCAAGGGAGTCATACTCTTCTTTGTTCCCCTCTTTCCTCCAGCATCAGGGTGAGTAGAGCCTCTTACTCCTCCCTTTGTGTTTCTTCCTCTTTCTCTTTTGTCTCTAGTTTCCTGTGCCCCCCCCCCAATTTCTCCCTACCCTACATTTTCTCTCTTTCTGTTGCCATCCTCCTGCCTTGCCCTCCCTGGCCTCCTGGGCCTTGCCTAACTCACCTCACTATCCCGGCATCCCAGGAGACATGGAAAGGCCTGGCTTTGGGTACTCAGAGAGGTGGCAGAGCCCTGGGCTCCCACCACCCTATTCCCTGCTCTCTCCAGCCCTTCCATGGAGGGGTTGGGAGGCACAGGGAAGGAAATCCTGGAACCTGGGCCCCCACTGGGGTTTCTTGTGGCCCTGCTGAAGGAGGTCAGGGCAGTGTAGGTGAGGGCTACCGAAGGGGAAGGAGAGGGAAGAGAGCAAGAGGGAGAGCCACTGTGAGAAAGGCTGGGCAACCCTGAAATGTCAATCGTGCCTTTTGGTTTTTGGTGTCTGGACAGTGCCATCCGGGATTGTTTCCCCACGTTGTTACGCCTGGTAAGTACCTACCTTTGTCACAGTCTCCTCCTCCTCACATACGTGACCTCCTCACCTGCCCCCAAGAAGCCCTTTGTTTCTTGCCTAGCTTGCATGTTTGCGTCAGACCGTCATCCATTGTAGATGATGCAGGTTCCTGAAAAAGACACGAATGTTCTTTCTGGCAAACGTCCTTAAGCACTCTCCCACAGAGACTCACAGGCCCGCAAAGGTTGCATATAACAGTAGAGAGTTCCAGGGCTCTGCCATGCAGACCCCTGCTGTAATCTCGCCTGTGGTAGTTCCACGGCCATTTCACACCTGGCCTCTGGGCTTTGCTCTCCCTTGGGCCTCCTCATCTCCTGGGTCACCCAGTGCCAATTCCATGGTCTACACTGCTAACTTCCTCTTCCCTTCCTTAGGATGGCCAGGAGTTATCCCCACCAGTTGCCATTGACATCGATGCTCCTGTGTTAATAAATCCCTACAAGGTGAGACAGAAGGACCAAGAGAGATTTGTGGTGTTCTGCGGAGGCATTATCAGCCCCATAATCTAAATAATGACGTTTTATTCCAGGAAGGGTATGGGGGATCTGAGTCCCTAAAGAATATAGTTCTGCGATTCCTGCAAGAGTAAGTGCCCCTGAGACCAAGAGGAAGGGGAGAGCTGGGGTGGACTAGGCTGCCTTAGCACTGGCCTATTCATAGATTTTTCTGGTCTCATTTGGGGCACAGACCTGTCCTCTTCCACCCATCCCACCCCTGCAGGTATTACTTGACCTATGACTATGGAGATCGACGGAGTCTCCTCAGTGTTTACCACGATGAGGCCTGCTTCTCATTGACCATTCCCTTCAATCCCAGCGATCCAGACCCGTGAGTATCTCAGCTCAGACTCTTGTCTGGAGCAGTGTGCCCCACCCCACCAGCAGGCACAGGTGAGCTCTTGGGATACCCGCACAGTCTGGACCACAGCCTCTTGTTCCCCTTTTTCTCCTAGGAACAGCTTGTGTGACTACTTCAAGCACAGCAGGAATATGAAGAATCTCAAGGATTCCTGTGTGTGATGGAGAAGACTGGGCAGGGAAATGGAGTGTGAAGGGGGCAATCACGGGGGCCCAAGGCCAGGGTGTGTCAGCCCCCTCATCTTTGTTTCTCTTCCCTTCTACAGTCTTGCAGGAGCAGCTGCTGAAGCACAAGAAACTTGATATTGTGGACTCCCTCAGTGTATTGCCCAAAACTCAGCATGACTTCAGTTCCTTTTTCATGGACATGTGGCTCCAGATGGTGAGCACTTGCTTCTTCCCTGGGACAGGCTCAGAAAGCTAGAGTTGGGTAAGAGGTTAAGCAGGATCCTGAGCTCTTGTGTTCTTCCCTTTCAGGAAACGATGCTCTGCTTTTCTGTCAATGGGGTGTTCAAGGAAGGTGAGTCTCTGTAGAATCCCTCTCCAGATCCTCTGGTGCTCCCTCCCCTGATTGGGCATGCTCCCTCCCCCCAAATCTCTCCCAGCTTCCCTGATTCTAGTGCCTTTCCTTCTGATTGTTCCACCTCTGTTCTGCTGCCCGCACTGTGCCCACAAACCATCCCGGTCTGACTTAGGCCCTTGTCTGTCTGCCCCATAGCTCAGGTGTTAGGAACGCAGGCTGTGGGGTTTGATGGCTCTCACCCCGGTTCCATACTCTGTGATCTTGGACCAGTTATTTAACCTCTCCATTTCCCCATTTACAAAGTGAGGCTAATAATACCCAATCTCTTGTACCACTGTGGAATTCGATGAAGTGAGCATTTGAAGTGATTTTCACAGGACCCAACATAATGACGGGGAACCAATCACTGGGGTTGGATTATTTCTATTGTTGCCCTCAAATTACCACCATGCCCTCCTGTGCCCAATTATCTGTGTCTGGCCCCCTGCGGTATAAGACTCTGAGTGGGAAATGCAGCTTGAGCATGTAAAGCATGTGCAACTCTAAGGACGTATTGTTTGTTGTCCTTGAAGTGGAAGGAAAGTCCCAGGGATGTGTTCGTGCCTTCACGCGGACCTTCATTGCTACCCCTGGCAGCAATTCAAGGTAAGTACTGTGCTGTGGGTGGAAACCCCAATCCCAGTCTGGGGCCAGTGGTGTGTGAATGTGGTGATGTTGTCCTCGGGGTATTCTCAGTATTGTGGAAGGTCAGCAGGTATATCCAAGTGGTTAAGAGGAAGGAGCTCTGGAGTTGGAATACCAGTTTTCCTTGACAGCAGCACACTCACTGCCTGTCACCTTGGTCAAATTACTTGACCTCTCTGTGAGTCAGTGTTCTTCTGAAAACGAGGATAAGAGTATCCACGTGTCCTCACGTTGTTGGGTAGGATAAATGCATGTAAAGCATGTGTAGATTAAATCTACAAATCCAGTGAAACTGATAGACAATCTCTCCCAAAGTGGAACTTCCGGGTCCCAGCCAAGGAATCTAGAAGGCAGGTAAAATAGGGATACAAAAGGAACTCAGTTGCTGAGTGGCGGTGGTTAAAAAGGATCCTGTTTTTGGTTGTGGGGAGTTGTCTTCCTGCCCAGTCATTCCAGGGACTGTTTTTCCTACAGTCTATGCATCGTGAATGACCAGCTGTTTGTGAGGAACGCCAACCCTGATGAGATCCGGAGAGTTTGCCCCATCCCGTTGCCCACAATCTGCTCCAGCTCCAAGCCCACCCTCTCTCAAGAGCAGCAGCAAATGGTGCAGGCTTTTTCCGTCCAGTCTGGGATGAAAGTCGAGTGGTCCCAGAAGTGAGTGCTGGTATACGTGTGAGAGGAGGTGGGGCGGGGTGGGGGGCGTGCAGGTGAGACAGCTGGAAGATGAATGACGAAAACTCACAGGAGATTTAGGAAAAATAACTGGGCAGATATTTTGTTTCCCTGAAAAAGGGGCCCATGAAAAAAATGTCATACTGTTATACCGGTGCATGTGCAGAATTTTAAAAATCGTATAATGCTCAAATGACATTACCTTCTGTATGGAGAATCCAAAAGAATCTATCAAACAAACCAAGAGAAACTAATAAACAAGTTCAGCAAGGTTGTAGAATATAAGAGCAATGTACAAAATCATACATGTTTCCACGAACTTGCTATGAACAACCCGAAAATGAATTTAAGAAATCAAGTCCATTTATAATAGCATCAAAAAGAGTAAGACACTTAGGAACAAATGTAGCAAAAGAAGCTCAAATCTCATACTCTGCAAAAAAATGTGATTGAAAACAAAAAGATTGAAGAAGACCTAAGTAAATGGAAAAACATCTCATGTTCATGGATGAACCTTGAAAACATTGTGCCAAGTGAAAGAAGCCAGTCACAAATGATGGCAGGTCTTAGGATTCCCTTTATATGAAATGTCCAGAATAGGCAGGTCCACAGAGACTGAAATCAGAGTGGAGGTTCCAGGGTCTGTGATCACTGGGGAGTGATCTCTGATAGCTATGGGTTTTCTTTTTGAGGTGATAAAAATGTTTTGGAATTAGATAGGTGGGGTGGTTGTACAATCTTGTGTCTATACTAGAAAACCACTGAGTTGTATGCCTTCAGATAGTAAATGTGATGTGTGTCTTATATTTCAACTTAAAATTGATTGGGAAATTTTTATTTCTGAATTTCCTTTTGTTATTTTCTTGAGCATCTTTTTGAAAATCAGTGCATTTTTAAGCTCCTTCACTGTTTTGAACACCTCTGTTCTTCTGCTTTGGATTTGACTATGCATGAATGTCAGTGACAGACGTTTTGGTTTCCACAAGGTCTTTCTTCTTCATTACGATGGTGCTCATCCTGGCCATGTGTCCCAGCAAATGAGTAGCACAGGTTAAGTGGTGATTAGTGCTTAACCTGTGTTAGTAATGGAGATCACCCGATTAGTGCTTCTGTCCTGTGTTAGTAATGGAGATCACCTGTTCTTCTCCCACCACAGGTGCCTTGAGGACAATGAATGGAACTACACCAGAGCAGGTCAGATCTTCACTACGCTCCAGGTGAGGTCTGGGAATCAAGTGGGTGAAAGATGGGTGTCTCTGGGGCTTTGGGAAAATGGAAGCCGGGTGGGCTGGGGATGGAACTCGGGGCAACCGGCTCTTCTCACATCCCAATTCCTTCCCTCCAGACTGAGGGCAAGATCCCAGAGGAGGCCTTCACAAAAATGCCCTAAGAGGAGCCCTTGGATGCCATCTTCCTCTTCATCCACATCATCGTTTCTCTGAAATGAACTTAAGGCCATGCCCATGACTGGGGTTGGAGGCTGGGCTGACCAAGAATCCAAAGTTAACTTGTAGGCCATGTAACATAGCCACCCAAAGGGCCAATTGTTCTGTGTATTTTCCCCCCACTGAAGATGCCTGTTTATTTTTATAATAAAGAGGATATTGCACATTGCACGTTGTGTCCTGGGTTGTGCTTATCCTGCCCCAACGATGAGCCAGCAGGGCCAGGACTGAAACCCCTGCGCACCTCTACTCCAACCCCATTCATGTCTGGCTGTGTGTGTAAGCAGATCCATCAAACTTGCCTCCATGGCTACTTTGTGAATACATTCCCGTGAGAAAGGATACATGATTAGCCTTTGGAGACCATGTGACTCTGTTGGATGCTCTACCTAGAGGCCTGCAGAAGCAGGCATGTGACCTGGCACAAGACAGGCTTCAAAGCCAGGCGCTGCTGGCTCACGCCTGTAATCCTAGCTACTCAGGAGGCAGCGAACAGAAGGATCTCGGTTTGAAGCCAGCCCGGCAGACAGTTCATGAGACTTATCTCGAAAATACCCAACACAAAACAGGACTCGTGGAGTGGCTCATGTGGTAGAGCACTTGCTTAGCCAGCATGAGGCTCTGAGTTCAAACCCCAGTTACCCCCCTCCACACACACACACACACACACACACACACACAAAGGAGCTTCCCAAGGGATGACTGCTGGCTAGTGAGGGCTGTGGGAGAGAGAGGGAAAGTGGGGGCTCACATCTTTTACTTCTCATTCCTAATCATTTGAACGTTTTCATAAACCATACCATGATCCTTTTGTGATTTGCACAAAGCTGGATGGGGAATGGGCCTTTTCACAGATGTCCTCATGCATCCACCTTTCTCTCCAACCACCGTCCCCCCCCTCACCTTCTTCAATGTGCTGTGCATGGAGCACTACATTAGTGCTAGTGCCTGTCAGGTGAGAGGGATTCAGTCTGTCTGGCCCATGCATTCTTCACAGAGCTGACATCGGATGCTCCATGTGCATGTTCTTGAGGAAAGGTTTCAGCCAACTACTTTTACTTCCAAACAACAGTAATAGCCAAATGAATCATGTCAACCTATACCTGTTGGTAATTAAGAGAACAGAAATGAATGGCAGTAGACATATGTAAAATTGCTCAACTACACTAAAAATTAAAGAAATGGAAAAGATTAGGGCATCGTTCATCTTGCCTGTTTTCCTTGCTCCCTGGGAGGAGTCACTAGGAGGCTCACAGTCCAGGCTGGCCCTGGTCAAAAATGTGAAACCCCGTCTGAAAAGTAAAGTAGAAGAGGGTTGGGGACATGGCTCAAGTGGTAGAGCTCTTGCCTAGCAAGTGCAAGTTCAAACCCCAGTATCACCAAGAAAATATAATTGAAAGTACTGAAATATACAAGTAAATACATAAGCAAGGTACTGAACAAAATGTACAACATGACCTGATTTTTGAAAAACCTATTTTCTTAAGAATATGCACGTCGTATTTTAAAATATAAACAAGCCTTGACAAATGTGGAGAATATTTCAACATCGGTTGAGTGCTTATCTTGTGGCAGGATACAGTTCAATGTCTCTTTCAATTTCTCCAGAGTTCAAATTCTCCCAAAATTAATGAACCAATAAAGCAATGGGCAAGTGAACTAAACAGAACTTTCTCAAAAGAAGAAATTCAAATGGTCAAAAAACACATGAAAAATGCTCACCATCTCTAGCAATAAAGGAAATGCAAATTAAAACCACACTAAGATTCCACCTCACCCCTGTTAGAATAGCCATCATTAGCAACACCACTAACAACAGGTGTTGGCGAGGATTCGGGGAAAAAGGAACCCTCTTACACTGCTGGTGGGAATGTCAACTAGTACAACCACTCTGGAAAAAATTTGGAGGCTACTTAAAAAGCTAAACATTGATCTGCCATTTGATCCAGCAATACCACTCTTGGGGATATACCCAAAAGACTGACACAGGTTACTCCAGAGGCACCTGCACACCCATGTTTATTGTGGCACTGTTCGCAATAGCCAAGTTATGGAAACAGCCAAGATGCCCCCCCTACTGACGAATGGATTAAGAAAATGTGGTATTTATACACAATGGAATTTTATGCAGCCATGAAGAAGAACGAAATGTTATCATTCGCTGGTAAATGGATGGAATTGGAGAACATCATTCTGAGTGAGGTTAGCCTGGCCCAAAAGACCAAAAATCATATGTTCTCCCTCATATGCGGACATTGGATCAAGGGCAAACACAACAAGGGGATTGGACTTTGATCACATGATAAAGCGAGAGCACACAAGGGAGGTTTGAGGATAGGTAAGACACCTAAAAAACTAGATAGCATTTGTTGCCCTCAACGCAGAGAAACTAATGCAACTGAGGCCAATAGGAGAAGGGGACCAGGAACTAAAGAAAAGGTTGGATCAAGAAGAATTAACCTAGAAGGTAACACACACGCACAGGAAATTAATGCGAGTCAACTCCCTGTATAGCTATCCTTATCTCAACTAGCAAAAACCCTTGGTCCTTCCTATTATTGCTTATACTCTCTCTACAACAAAATTAGAGATAAGGGCAAAATAGTTTGTGTCTGGTAACGAGCGGGTGGGGAGAGAGAGACTTATGCTGAGATAAGTCTCTCAGCATCCAGCTGTGCAGGATTGAGAGAAGGAATAAAGTAATAAAAAAGCATCCTGAGGAATGGGAGAAAGTATTCGAAAAGCAGATATCCAATAATGGGTGTCGTCTTTGTTTTGTGTTGCTACAAAAATGTTTGAAACTTGATGCTTTAAAAGAGAAAGATATTCATTTAGCTCACAGTTCTGGAGGCTCAAGAGCATGGCATCAGCATCTGCTTGGGTCTAATGAGGGCCTCATGGCAGATGGCATCAAAATGGCCAGAGTGCATGTGGAGGGCATCACATGATCAAACAGGAATCAAGAGACAGGGGAAGGGTCAGACCCTATTCTCTCATAACAACCTGCTCTCATATGAACTAATCTATACTTACCAGATCTGACCCATGACACAAGACAGAATGTATTAGTTTATATAATAAAATACTCAAGGCTGGTAACTTAAAAGAAAATAAGATCATTTAACTCACAATTCTGGCAATGGTGGGGCATGTGAGAAAAGAAGAGATCATACCACAAGACAGGAAGAAAAACACAGGGACAGAAAGAGAGGAGAGAGAGAGAGCTAACTGGGGTTCCACAAGAGCTACCTTAATCCCTTCCAAGAGTATGCATCCAATGAGCTAAGACTGCCAGCTAGGCTCCATCTCTTAAAGGTCCCACAACCTCTTAACATTGTCATGCTTATGACCAAGCTTTCAATACATGTACCTCTGGGGAACAAACCACAGAACAGCATTAATTTACCCCATGACCTAATTGCTATCACAAGGCCTCACTTCTTAAAATTCTACCACCTTAATACTGTCATACTGGAAACCAAGCTCCTAGCACATTAACTTCTCAGGGACAAACCATATCCAAGCAACAGCAAGGGTTAATATTCAAAATATTAAAGGAACTAGCAAAAGAAGAGGAAAATAACAATCCATTTACAAAGAAGAAAAAGCTTGAATGTACAGTTTACCAAGGAAGGCATACAAAGGGCCAATAGGTACATGAAAAGATTATTAACATCCTTAATCATCAGAAAGCGCAATTCAAAAGTAATAATAAGATATAACCTCATACCTGCTTCGCTATTATTAAAAGGCCAAAAGGTGACAGGTGTTGGCAAAGACATGGAAGAAACGGAAACCTTATAAATTAACAGTGATAATGTAAATTAGTGCAGTCATTATGTTAAACATTATAGAGATTCCTCAAAATTTTAAAATAGAGTTACTATATTATCCAATAATCCTGCCACTGGAGATATATATATATATATATATATCTCCAAAGGGAATATATCCAATGTAAATCTCTAATTTGAAGAGAAATCTGCACTTCCATACTCATCATAGCATTAGTCACAACAGTCAAGACATAAAATAAAATTAATTGTCCATCAACAGATGAATGATTAAAGAAAATGTGATGAATATATATGTACACACACATATGCACAATAGGAAATTATTCAGCCTGAGAAAAGATGGAAAAACTACCATTTGCAAGAACATGGTTGAAACCAGGAAACATTATTCTAGATGAAATCAGTTAAATACAGAAATACAAATATTACTTGATAGTACTTATCAAGTAATATAGTACTTATATAGTACTTATATACAGAGTAAAAAAAATTGAATTCTTAAAACAAAGCAGAATCATAGTTTCCCAGGGTCCAGGAGTGGGAGGAAATGGGGAGATGTTGGGTAAAGGGAACAAGGCTGCGGTTTTAAGATGAAACAACTTTGGAGGCCAGTTCTGGAGAATACTGTTCAGCATAGTAACTATAGCTAATAATATTGCAGTGCATAATTTATATTTTCTAGAGTAATATATCTTAAGTATTCTCATCTCAAAAAAGCAAGTATGTAAGATGATAGATATGTTAATTATCTCGGTTGTAGAATACATTCCACTTTGCATATATATATTAAAAAGCATATACAATTCAAATTTATATAATTTTTGTCGATTGTAATTCAAAAAATTGAAAAATCTGTTCATCTCAGCAGTTGTGAAAAATCTACTTTCTATCATTCAATATTTTATGTTAAATATACTAAGAAAACATGAAGTTTTTGAATAATACTTTAACTTAATTAATCCCACAGCTCTAAAGGGAACGCAAGGTAGCAGCAGACATGGTCACACATACCATCTCTACAAGTAAGAGCAAGACAAGCAATTCTGTGCACCCAACATTAATTATTACTCAGGAATATTAGAAGATACATCTAATTAGGAATGATGACATCGAATAGCATTTTAAAAATGGATGAACTGCATGCTTGG